CATGCAACGCTACAGGCTTGGGGAAGAGTGGCTGGAAAGCTGCCCAGCAGAAAAGGACCTGGGGGTGTTGGTCAACAGCCATCTGAATATGAGCTAACAACATGCTCAGGTGGCCAAGAAGGCCAATAGCATCCTGGCTTGTATCAGGAATAGTGGGGCCAGCAGGACTAGGGAAGCGATCGTCCCCTTGTACTCAGCGCTGCTGAGGCTGCACCTCAAATACTGTGGTCGGTTTTGGGCCCCTCGCTACAAGAAGGACATTGAGGGGCTGGAGCGTGTCCAGAGAAGAGCAACGAAGCTGGTGAAGGGTCTAGAGCACAAGTCTTACGAGGAGTGGCTCAGGGAACTGGGGTTGTTTAGCCTGAAGAAAAGCAGGCTGAGGGGAGACCTTATCGTTCTCTACAACTACCTGAAAGCAGGATGTAGTGAGGTGGGTGCCGGTCTCTTTTCCCAAACAGCAAGTGATAGGATGAGAGGAAATGGCCTCAAGTTGTGCCAGGAGAGGTTTAGATTGGATATTAGGAAAAAATTCTTCACTGAAAAGGTTATCGAGCACTGGACCAGGCTGCCCAGGGAAGTGGTTGAGTCCCCATCCCTGGACGTATCTAAAAGACGTGTAGATGTGACACTTAGGGACATGGTTTAGTGGTGGACTTGGCAGTGCTAGGTTAATGGTTGGACTCAATAATCTTAACGGTCTTTTCCAACCGAAATGATTCTGTGATTCTATAGGAAAAAAAAAGTGTCATGTTTAAAAAATATATATATATTCAAAAGTGTCTTAAGATATTTGATGTGGAATGAAATGGTATAAAAAGCTCACTTAACTTGAAAACAGAAACTTGGTTTAAAAGAGTATACTCCAAAGCAATTTTTAAAATCTTTTGGGAAAGGAACAAGGGCAATTTTGCCTAAAAAGGGCAGTTCAAGTTTTTAATTTCTTACAGAGATTGTTTTTTAAGCAGGTAGCAGTTTCTTTGTATTCAAATATATACATACTGTCGTACGTACATACACAAGCAAGGACAGTATTTCAAGTTAGCTTCTAACCGTTCACTGATGAGTGCTATTTCATTCACATAAGGAAGCTATACTGGTTTTTCTTTAATACTGTCCTTATAAAGCAGTTTGTTTTATACTAGCACAGTATTAATTATGCCACTGAAAGCAATAGCAAATATTTGCAACAGTACCTCACTCAGCATTATAACAAAGCCTTCTGTCCTTGAGTCCTCTCAAGTCTTTGCCTTTGATTTCATGAGTCTGTCCTTAGGATTCTTGGAGAACGGACTTTGAAAGCACAAGCTATTATGTTATTGTTTGACTTGTTCATCCTAAGAATTTAGTCTTTTTCTCAAAAACCCTCTCTGAATCCTTGTCCCTTTATTTTTATGAACGAAGCTCCACTCCAGCAAAGCAAATTTTCATTCAACATCATAGAAAAAAAAATTTGTCAAAACATGTAATAAAAATTACTTAAGCAAAACAAAGTGTTAATTATCATATGAATATAGTGGCTCTTAGTAGTCACACTTCTTATTGGGAAGATGATTGCAAGATAAGCAGTAGCTTTGTAAAGGTAATACAGGCTGTCTTACTGATAACACAAGCTATGTCCTCAGGGAAACATCGTACATTCCAGCATATTTCAGGAAATTTCATAAATTTCAGCGTATCTCACATATCTCGGACACGTCTGCTTCTCAGGATGGGACTTTGTTTTAAAGGAAATGTATTTTTGGTTTTCCCTGAAAGCACATGGCTTTGTCTCCTAGGTAAATTATATTGTCTTAAAAAAACCCTCATCATCTGATTCATGAGTCTTACCCTAAATCTAGTGGGGCTTGTTTAAACAGTCAGCTCTTCTTTAACATATCTTTCTAATGACATGTACACTCGTACTGCCCTTTTTTAACCTTGTGACTCCTAGAATGCTCTCCATGGATGAATGTATTTGCTAGGAAGTCTTTGTCATTTTCTTTTGAGTTTGGTACTATGATTTTTTTCCCCCCCCATGGAGATACATAAAGGTTCAGAAGTTAAGCCTGGATCAGTGACCAAAATTGACTTCTAGATACACAGAAGGCTATGCAGAAATACACATAATACTGCTTGAAGTCATTATTAAGCATTGCTGGGGTTTGTGCTGAGAAGAGGAAATCCTTAAAGTGGTATTGAAAGGGAGATATAATACAATATATTTGAAATGTAGAAATACATTCAGATAGTATTTTAGCAACCTGAAAAATAGAAAGGAAGCCGCACTAGTTAAATAAAAGGTAGGAAAACTTGGGGTTTGGCAATTTATACGTTTATCATATGCTTTTTCGAAATTTCTCCAGAAAATGGTGCGTTTTAATGTAATTTTGATTCTTCTTTTGGCACGTCATTACAGGTTTTTTGTTTGTTTGTTTTTTCAGGAATCCAAAATGTACTCAGCTTATTCTGTGCTGTGCTTACAGAAAATAAAGTTCTCTTTCACTCCGCAAGTTTTCAGAGGCTCAGTGATGCCTGTAGGGCTCTGGAGTCTTTGATGTTTCCCCTCAAATATAGGTGAGTTGAGTTTTGAATCTTTGAACTCTGGCTAGTTTTATAACTCATTTTATAACTTAAATTACATTGTTCTTAACAAGAGATTTGTACTATGTTTGTTCAAATAAGCAAAGGTTTTCATGATCATATATACAAGTTCTAGTCTGTACACATCATTAATAAAAATCTGGTTGCATCACGACACTGGAAAAAATTAAAGGAGAAACGTCCAACCTACAAATACAGTAGAAACCCTACTCACAGCATCAGTTGGATGGTAAAACTTGACAGTGAAGATCCATGAGTAAATGCATGCAAAAGATATGGGGGAGACCTAATAACAGCCTGCCAACAAGTAAGAGGGAGGTGCATGAAGGGAGAACAAGAGATTGGGGTCACAAACCGAAACAGGGGAGAGGAAGGTTTCTGACTGGATGCAGGGAAAACTAAGCAGTGGAACAAAGAGCCTGTGGTGCTTCCATCCCTGTAGGTTTTCAGGACCCAGCTGGACAGAGCTCAGGGCAACTTGATCTGGATTCAGTCTTGACCCTGCTTTGAGCAAAAGGTTGGACTAAATGATCTGCTGAGGCCCTTTACAATCTGAAAGATTGTGTGGTTCTGAGATAACATCTACATTGGCTTGTATCACAGTTTTAAGTCACTGACAAATGTCCACCAGAGAATGAATTCAAATGAACAAATCGATTCTATCTAAAAAGCCACATCTGAATCCAGCATTTTGAAATGGAAAACTTATGTCAAGCTGTTTGGCTTTTTTAGGACAAAGACATCTAATTCTGACTCGTGTTTTAAAAGATGCTTGTATTTTAGTAGCATATTTTTATTTAAAATATTTCAGAGATGGGCTTCATCTTAATATAGAATAAGAAGGAAAAAAATTGAAAGTGAGTTTGGGAATATGTTTCTTAATGCTAAAGTAGTCATGAGTGTAAATTTTTAATAACTATAAATTAGGTGTTGAAATGCATTGATCAATTTAGATACGGATTTTCATGTTGCTCTGATGAAAACACTAGTGTTCTTAAATTGTCAAATCAAGTAAACTATCTGAAATATAGAATTCTATATATAATGTTTAGTTGTTATCTCAATATCAAAGCAAAAGATTTCATTTAAAGATTCCTTATTAATGATATTTTACAAAAGGCTGAATTGTAAGTGTCTGGCCAAAAACTAGCCATCTTTTTAAAATGAAAGTATTGTGCATAAGTTTAATGTCCCTAGTTACCTAAAAGTTGTGGACAAATATAATGTCCATATAACATAAATGTTATAAATATAGATAGTCTTTTCTTATTTTGCAAAATACTCTTGTTTACAATCAATTGTAGACCCTATAATGTAATAATTTCTGGAGTTTACATGACTGATGTTCTTTTAACAGCATGGCACTTTATAAAGAAGTATTTAATAAATACTTTAATCCTTAAAATTTTTAAAATACAGGTATTTATAGTAAATTTAATATGTAAAAGGAAGATTTTTTTTTTCTTTAAAGAAAAAAGCTGCCCTATGTGAAGGGATAGTCGAGAGCTTTTATTTTATTTTATTTATTCTTTTCACAGCTATCCCTATATTCCAATTCTTCCTGCACAGCTATTGGAAGTTCTCAGCTCACCAACACCTTTCATAATTGGCGTACATTCTGTCTTTCGCAATGACATTCATGAGCTTGTAAGTATGTCTACCCAGCATATTCATAGTCACGATGTGATTTGTGAATGTTTAGTTGCAGAGATTTTCTGTGCTTCAGAGGTGTTTATATGAACAATACGTATACTTTTAAAATATTACCATACAAGACAATCAGTAGGAGAAAAAAGAAAAGCGTCAATTCTTTTGTAAATGCATTGAGATTATAAAGTAGAGGAGGGAAACAACTTGATTCTAGTGCAGGATGGGAAGGAATGGATCCATTTCTAGCTGTGTCCATGTATTTGTCATGAGTTTGAACAATTCACTTACAATTTTCAAATGTATCCTCAATTATTTTATTTTATCCTTACTTTTTAAGTATGTGCTTAGAGAAACTGAACCAGGGTTACAGAGGTACCTAGAACATGTAATTTTACTTAAAGTTGTCCTCATTGTGTCCTTTTGCAAACAGCCTATTAGATCACTGAACACAGACCTGGAGCATCCAGTAACAGAAGTCACTTTTGAAAGTTTGGCCTGATTTCACTTTCTTTGGTTTACGTTCATTTTTTACAGCTAGATTCAGTAATATGAAGTATTTGGAGTATTTCCTTTATCAAAAGCTTTCTATACAGTAAAGTTAATACTGTTTTAATTTGTTTGTTTTAACTTATGTGCAGATCATGAAATTTGAACTGCTGTGTTCTTAAACTATGCTCACAGTATACACTACCAATAATATTTTTGTTTGTTCCTTACAGTTAGATGTAATCATAGCAGACCTGGATGGAGGCACAATTAAAATTCCTGAATGTATTCATCTTTCTCAGCTGCCAGAGCCACTGCTACATCAGACTCAAATGGCTCTTTCTCTAGTATGTTTTGATACAAACCCTATTTTCTATCCTCTTACTGATTTTTAAAGAATGAAAAATGAATTTCAGTATTAATTCACTTTCAAACACACTGGAAATGTGAGATTTAAAACTATGATTCCTGCCAACGTTCCTGTTTTTAGAAGAATTTATTATCTAAAGTTAGAGTTAATATCATGACTAATTTACTACTACAATGTTAGGGATTTTTCCTTCCTAATAATGCTTTTTTACTAAGAGTTCAACCTCAGTGTTTGAGCAGCATTGTTACTATTCATTTTAGCTTCTTTTCTGTTTTCGTAAATTCGTTTCAACTGTACATTGTCTTGAAGTTTAACAAATGAATAACCAATTAGTCTTAAAGTTTATTTGTATGATGCCCCTATATCAATATTCAGGAGTAATTGATTGTACATTAGGGATTCACCAAAAAAAGTAGTTCCGTTTTGTCTTTTTGGTATCATTGTCATAAGTTAGAAAACACCTTATTTAGAGGCTTCTGAAAAAATACTATCTTCAAGAGAAGAATTTTCTGTCTGTTAATCTGTTTCAGATTAATCAACTCTAAAATCCTTAACTATATTGATTAGCTTCATGAACTGTAATAGGAGATTTTAACTAGCTCACTTACAGAAACCTGAAGCTGAGAAATTAATCCCACCTTTATTTCCATACAGTCTTCATAATTTAACTCAATCTGTTATTTGAGGTACTTAATATCAGTGAATATTAATTTGAGAAAGAAGAAAAAAATAATTTGTCCTTTGCTCAGCAAAATGAGGGAAAAAAATTTTGTTTAAAAAATTCTCTAGGTTTTGCATCCTGATTTGGAAACAGCAGATTATGCGTTCCCTCCCCCACGAACAGCTTTATCACACTCAAAAATGCTGGTAAGATTTCTGTGTTGTGTCTGACTTTCTTAAATAGAAAACTGTTGACATTTTAGACTAACTTTCTTTTAAGAATTTCTGCTTTGTGTTTTCTTTTCCATATCCATATCTTTTATAGTATTATTGGTGGAGCAAAGAAATGCATCCTGCCCACTAATAGCATTCTAATGGGTTAGAAGTTTTTATAAACATATTTTTATTAATATGGAAGCACCTTATTTTCTTTTAATATTGCTGTCTATTAAGTTAAATATGTGCCTTCTCTGTTTTGTAGACCAGTAAAGCTGCAGAATTGTACATGAGTGGACAAACTGGTCTATTTGTGTGTGTGTGTGTGTGTGTGTGTGTAAATGTTAAAATTAAGTTGTCTTATAGACACCTCACCCCACCCCCAAGAACAAAAAAACTTCAGAAACATTAAAAATGTTATTCAAGATCTAGATCTTAGAGTAAATATGAGTAAAGATAGAAGTGGTAGCTGTGTCAACAAACATAAGTTACTGGTTTTACAATAATAATGATGATTATTATGCATTGCATGCTTGGACATATAGGGAAAGGAGTTGTATGTTTTTTAACATTGGATTTGGCTTTAATGAACCTCAACCTGAATGAAACAACATGTAACTGTCTATACTAAAAAAGTCTGTAGAAAGTTTTGTACTAAAATCCAGTTAATTTAGATTAAAAGTAGTTGTGAAGCCATGATAACTTAACAACTTTGTAAAGCTGATGTTTTTAGCTTGTAGGAGTGTCTAGAATTGAACATGAGTTGGTAGTCCAAACTAAAATCCAAAAGGTGTAGGTACATAAAAAAATGTAAAACTCTGAAGTGGTACAATATATTTGTTGTTCTTATTTCTTGCTTTAAGATTCATTTTTTTCATTGCTGAAGGCAGAAAATGTCATCCAGATTTCATTTAAACTAATGGCAAAGTTCAGCTAACATCTCACTTTGAATGGTGAAGTTACGAATTAACGTAATTTTGTATCAAAATAAGAATTTTCTTAAATCTGAAAGAAATGACCATGTTTTCAAGTAGTCCAAAAAGTCAGGGTACAAATGTACCTGTTAAAATCCTAGAGAGCAGCCTGGACACAAAGAAAATGAGAATATCTCTTAGTAAAGTGAGCCCTTACAAAACTTAAGTTAAAAATAGAATAAAACTGATCATGTTCCAGAGAATAAACAGACATCTAGAAAAATATTCTAATAGGACAGCTTTATAGAATTTTATATATAGCTAAACTTATTTTTTAAAAAATCATTACATGCTTTAACTTGTTTAGGTTGTATTTTGCTTGTTGATTAGCTGATCAGCTGTTTACTTGATTTGTTAATCTAATATTCTTTGCTGCTTGTAACTTTTGAAGTTACAGTTTGTTTTAAAAGTCCTTTGAGACACCATAAAACCTGAGGTCATAAAACATTTTTTTATACCTCAGGTTTTAGATGTGGCAGCAGTCCGAGTAGGTACCTGAGCTAAGATAAAATAATGTGGGGGGCACAGGATTTGATCCCAGTCTTTAGTTGCATCTGGGCCAGCTAAAGATGTCACTGCCCCAAGTCTGCCCCCAACTGTTCATATCGTTTCCGTTGACCCGTAGATGTTTATGTAAGCACTCGCTTACTCTTTTAAATCAAAATAAACCAGGACTTTAAAGATCTACTATTTTGAACTTTTTAAACTAACCCTGGCTTATTTTGGCTGCAGTAGATTGGCAAGTGAAGACATGAGTTGGAAGAGTCCTAGACAAGTAGCTGAGCAAACTTAGAGCAGTCTCCTCAGCTGGCAGAGCCACGGCAGATCACGATCACTGCTCCCCGGCCAACTCCCCCCAGTTTATATACCGAGCGTAACGTCATATGGTATGGAACAGCCCTTTGGCCTGTTTGGGTCAGCTGTCCTGGCTGTGCTCCCTCCCGGCTTCTTGTGCACCTGGCAGAGCATGGGAAGCTGAGAAGTCCTTGACTTGGTATAAGCACTACTTAGCAACAACTAAAACATCAGGGTGCTATCAACATTATTCTCATACTAAATCCAAACCACAGCACTATACTAGGAAGATAATTAACTCTATCCCAGCCGAAACCGGGACATTCCCCCAGCAGCAGCAATGCCAGCTTAGGCTCTTCTGGTTCCCTGCTGCCCCTGCCCACTCCAATGGTACTGCTTGTGTAGTGCTGCAGAGCCACATGTATTTTAGGGAATAAATCCAGGATAAAATACCCTCTTTCCTTTATTTAGCATCAGTTTTCTCTCATGGCACTTCCTTCATGTGGTTCACCACATGACCACCCCAACAGTTACACTTGCATTGCCCAGAGGCTGTTGTGCAGGCATAGAAAAGAGCAGTAGGAGTAAAGGGGTGAATATGTGCTAAGTCTGTCATTGCCATCTGAGGACAGGTCAGTGAAACTGTAAGCATCATATAAGGTAACTTCATATGTGTACAAGTATCTCCACTTCATATGCTACGCTGCTGCATTGTCTGATGAATTAGTAGGTATTTCTCAGATAGCTTTATACAAAGTGTGGAGAAGTTTAGAATAAGAAAATGTTTTGACAGCATATTCAATTACTGCTTACAGGATAAAGAAGTGCGAGCAATCTTCCTTAGGCTATTTGCACAACTTTTCCAAGGATACCGGTCATGTCTTCAGCTGATCAGAATTCATGCTGAACCAGTAATTCATTTCCATAAGGTAAAAGAGAAGCAGTTATGTATATTTCATTAGTATTTGTGTGTGTCATGTTATTCCCACAAGCTTGCCTTTAGAACAAGTGTTAAAGTTTAAAAAAATAAGATAATTACATTTTTACATAGCACTGTATCAGTGCATTTTAGTGGGGCTAATTGCAGGGACGGTGATGAAATGTGAAACAAAGTTAACATTAAAATTTAATGCAAAGAAACATTTGAGGAATGATTAAGGACTTTTTAAAACATATGTATGTAATTAAAAGACAATACTTGGAAGTACTAGTTTTCTGTTATTGCCTGTGAGATTTATAATATGTGTGCATCAAACTTCCTGTTACATCACTCCTGAATTTAGGTATAAAAAGATAATAGGTAATATAAAATATTTAATTAGAAAGTACCCCATATTACTATCAGCTGGTGAAAATGTTTAACTGCTAGTGGATGACTAGTAGGTTGTAGTTTTGATACTGACTATATGCATTGATACTGACTACATGCATTTTTTCCTATCTTTATTGCAGGCAGCCTTCTTGGGGCAGCGAGGCTTAATTGAGAATGACTTTCTAACCAAAGTTCTCAATGGAATGGCATTTGCTGGTTTTGTGTCAGAGAGGGGTCCTCCTTTCAGAGCCTGTGATCTTTTTGATGAGGTGAAAACTGTTTCTATATTCCCAAGGAAATTAAAATGTACCTATGATATTTCAGCATGTGAAAAACTATTGAAATGCTTCTGAATCCTCACTGTTTATTGTGTGAAGTTTATACTAAACTTCTCAGTTCTCATTTTCTACTAAACATACATTTCTAGCTTACTTCGGTACAATTAGGCCCTGCTCATATGTATGAAGTTAAACAGTTGTATAAATCATGGTAATGCTGTTCCTGTTGTCAGGTTTGGAACTTCATAATGCATCACATGTGCTAGTACAGAATTATTTTGAGTAATTTAATTATATTCTTAGAAACATTGAAAAAGTAATAGAGAAATATTAAATTAAATACATACCCAACAATGTAAACTGGGACAAATATTTTTTCTTTTAAGAAGTAATACCATATTTTTACTCTGCTGGCTTTTATTTGAATGTAGAGTACAAACAGAGATTTGTATTAATTCTGCATAGTAGTAGTATATATGAGAAATATGGATTGTAGTATTAGAAATTTTAAAGGAATGTTATAGGTATGTAGGACTTTCTGTGTTAGGTAGGACTATAAAATCTGGTAACAGAAGCTCTATAAGAAAATGAAAATGTCCCGTGTTCCAGAGCAAGGTGACATTGCACATTTTTCAGTGTTCAGTTTTCTTCGCTCAGTTTCAATTTAAGATTAACATTTCATAACTTAAATAGGAAAGAAATTATTTTTGGTTGAATTATCAACATTTTTATTCGTTTTGTTTGTTTGTTTTAAAGTTGGTAGCCTTTGAAGTCGAAAGAATTAAAGCTGAGGAGGGTAATCCACCAAAAATGATAAAACATGTTAGAGAACTTGCAGAACAGCTCTTCAAAAATGTAAGTTTACTATACCTGCTGCACTTTTAGAGTTGAGATAACAACATTGAAGATTCTTATTTCTGAGATTGATCCCATATGTGAAAGTGGAAATGACTGCTCGTGGTAGTCATCTGCATTACGACAAAAGACTTTGGAACTTTAAATGTCACCAATTTTGTACATGTGAAGGAAGTTCAATATAGTAATATTGATTTATTATTGCTAATATTGATTTACATATAGCTACTGCTTGGCGCATTCTGTTTTCTTAGTGTGTATTCACAAAATGTATATAAACTGTTATTTTCTCTGCTGCAACCTGTCCGTGCCAAATACATCTTTTTTTCTTGCCTCTCAACACTTTTCCATATGAAAAATGTACATCCAATTTGGCATAATGTATACTTTCAGCAGATCTTTCCTGCTGTGCAACCCAGTTCCCATGGTTTGTGTGCTCAGCAAGCACTGTTTCATTTCTTACAGCCTGTTTCTTGGACTCTTTAGGTTTCCTAGAATACCATTTGCAGTTTCATTCTTGCCTTCCTATCATGCCTTTATGTTACATGGTGCTTTTGTAAAATCGCTTACCATTCCGTTAGCTGTGGGGTTTTTTGTTGTTGTTTATTTCTTTTTTTGATTTTTTTTTTTTTTTGGCATCAGCTTATCTCTGTCCCCCTCGTACTTCCTGTTGTTGTTCAGACTCCACAGAGCACCATCTACTACGCAGTCAGTTAACACCTTTATCGCCCTTTCTTTTCTATATTCCATTTCCACAAAACTATGATTTACATCTGCACTTCTATAAAAAAATCACAAGAATTACTAAGTATTTCTAAGTTCCAAGGTGTTTGGGGGGCGGATTTGGGTTGTGTGTGTCTTTTTTTTCCAAAATAAATTGCCTTTAAGCATTTTGTCAGTGTCAATGCAGTTGTTTTTTGGGGTAAAATTAGTATCTTTTCCATAGCAAATTCAAAACTTTACAACCAGTGCGTTCAGCAATCCTTTGTGTCAGTAAATTTTAGATAGAAAAATACATCTATGTATTTCAAGTAAATGGAATGTGTGAATAGTAAGGTGTGTGAAGAGATGTTCGTCTGGCTTTAATGTTGTCCTTCATTGCAGAATTTGTGTGTCTTTCTTCAGACACACTCATTCACTCACTCGCTCTGTCTCTTTTTTCCTCTGAAATTGCCAAATGACCGTTTTAATTTTTTTTGAAGGAAAGAACTGATACACGTTTTAATCTACCTTGTTGATAGTAGACATTAGAAGAGAGAGCAAAAAAATGTGTATGAAATGTCTCTTGTCCATATGTGGCGTAGCATACTTATTGAAGTATCCTAGTGTAACACTGATTTCTTTACACTGACTCTCAGACTTAGGGTAAGAGAATGTAGGTTTTGGAAAATGAAGAGAAACATCAGGCATTAGAATAATTGTTACATAGATTTATTTCATCTATGAGATTTCATCAGTAATAAAATATTATTTTTTCCATGGTATACCTCCTCATCCTGTAGTATTCTCTTAATGATAACTACTGATGGAATCATCTTCTATTACGAGCTAAAATTAAGTTACCAGATATAAAAACTTCTGAATAAATATTAAATTCTCTACTACTAATTTAATAGTGGTGCTGTATATAGCAACATGCATTTTCCAAATTGAGGTCTGTCTTTCAGGTTAACACTGTCAGAAGGTATATTAGTTGACAGTTCTGTGACATTCAGAACTGTTAGTTTCATTAGAAAGTCAAATGGGCAAAATTAAAGTAAACAAGTTTGGTTCTTTTTGATCAGATGGCAGAGATGAGTGAACTCAAATTTGGGGAAGATACAGCAGAAAAAATGAGGAGTATTGCACTAAAGTTTCTTTAAAATCAATCTGTCTTTTAAAAGTTTTTATTTCCTCAAGAGCTAGGGCTGTCATGTTATATAAGTATATGATTATTGTGCTACTATCCCATAAATATGGGAAATTGCTACAAACAATATAATTGTTATTATCACAGAATCATAGAATTGTTTAGGTTGGAAAAGACCGTTAAGATTATTGAGTCCAACCATTAACCTAGCACTGCCAAGTCCACCACTAAACCATGTCCCTAAGTGTCACATCTACACGTCTTTTAGATACGTCCAGGGATGGGGACTCAACCACTTCCCTGGGCAGCCTGGTCCAGTGCTCGATAACCTTTTCAGTGAAGAATTTTTTCCTAATATCCAATCTAAACCTCTCCTGGCACAACTTGAGGCCATTTCCTCTCATCCTATCACTTGCTGTTTGGGAAAAGAGACCGGCACCCACCTCACTACATCCTGCTTTCAGGTAGTTGTAGAGAACGATAAGGTCTCCCCTCAGCCTGCTTTTCTTCAGGCTAAACAACCCCAGTTCCCTGAGCCACTCCTCGTAAGACTTGTGCTCTAGACCCTTCACCAGCTTCGTTGCTCTTCTCTGGACACGCTCCAGCCCCTCAATGTCCTTCTTGTAGCGAGGGGCCCAAAACCGACCACAGTATTTGAGGTGCAGCCTCAGCAGCGCTGAGTACAAGGGGACGATCGCTTCCCTAGTCCTGCTGGCCCCACTATTCCTGATACAAGCCAGGATGCTATTGGCCTTCTTGGCCACCTGAGCATGTTGTTAGCTCATATTCAGATGGCTGTTGACCAACACCCCCAGGTCCTTTTCTGCTGGGCAGCTTTCCAGCCACTCTTCCCCAAGCCTGTAGCGTTGCATGCCCTCGTACAGATCATTGATAAAGGTATTAAACAGAACTGGCCCCAGTACTGAGCCCTGGGGAACACCACTCGTGACTGGCCGCCAACTGGACTTAACTCCATTCACCACAACCCTTTGGGCCTGGCCCTCCAGCCAGTTTTTTACCCAGCAAAGAGTACCCTCATCCAAGCCATGAGTAGCCAGTTTCTCCAGGAGAATGCTGTGGGAAACAGTGTCAAAGGCTTTACTAAAGTCCAGGTGGACAACATCCACAGCCTTTCCTTCATCCACTAAACATGTCACATTGTCATAGAAGGAGATGAGGTTAGTCAAGCAGGATCTGCCTTTCATGAACCCATGCTGACTGGGCCTGATGACCTGGTTGTCCTGTACATGCCTCGTGATGGTGCTCAGGATGATCTGCTCCATAACCTTCCCTGGCACTGAGGTCAGGCTGACAGGCCTGTAGTTCCCCAGATCCTCCTTTTGGCCTTGTGAGGCAAAGAAGGCATTAAGTACCTCAGCCTTTCCCTTGTCCTTTGTCACTATGTTTCCCCCTGCATCCGGTAAAGGATGGAGATTCTCCTTAGCCCTCCTTTTGTTGCTAATGTATTTATAGAAACATTTTTTATTGTCTTTTATGGCAGTAGCCAGATTAAGTTCGAGTTGGGCTTTGGCCCTTCTAATTTTCTCCCTGCATAACATCACGACAGCCTTGTAGTCCTCCTGAGCTGCCTGCCCCTTCTTCCAAAGGTCATAAACTCTCCTTTTTTCCTGAGTTCCAGCCAAAGCTCTCTGTTCAGCCAGGCTGGCTGTCTTCCCTGCCAGCTTGTCTTTTGGCACATGGGGATGGCCTGCTCCTGCACCTTTAAGATTTCCTTCCTGAAGAATGTCCAGCCTTCCTGGGCTCCTTTGCCCTTCCGGACTGCCTCCCAAGGGACTCTGTCAACCAGGCTCCTGAACAGGCCAAAGTCTGCCCTCTGCAAGTCCAAGGTGGCAATTCTACTGACCCCCCTCCTTACTCCTCCAAGAATTGAAAACTCTATCATTTTGCGATTGCTATGCCCAAGATGGCCTCCAACCATCCTGTCGTATCAGTATTATGATACTAAATTATTCCAAAGGAGATGGCGAACATTTGTGTTTGTTTTCTAGCAGATATAGATCCTTTTTTATAATGAAAGAACCTATAAAGCATAAGTGAATATGTGCAACTTTTCACTTACATTATTTCTTAAAATCAGTGTCAAAACTAATTCATTTTAGTCTTTGATGATGATGAGATTTGTTTATACCATTGTGATTGACCTGCTACTTCCCTACTGCTAAATCAATGACTTAGTGTATTTAAAAGTCAGATTTTTAGTAGTTATGCATACAGCTCTCTTTGAATAAAGCACTGTGATGAGTATCATTTCTTCTATAAGTTATGCCTAGAGCTGCCTGATTTTAAACTCAGTGCATGACATATTTTGACATCTTGTTCCACAGTTTAAATATTCATCATATTGTAGCTGTCACAGTCTAGATACATATGAGAAACAAGGTTTGTTAGGGAGAGATAATGTTTGTATTAGTCTAGCTGGTACAAGTGGAAAATCTAGACAAGTTTTTGGCATACACTGCTTCAGTAGTTGAAGACATTAGACCTACATTCCTAATAGCGTATACAGCTGAGATGAGGTTTGTGATGGCCAAGATTAAAGTAACTCTTTCTGTATCTTTCCTCTGGATCTTTCTTGTCCATGAAATGGAATGTAGAATAGTTATTCTCCCTTTCTGGGTTTTTCTGTTATATGTCATCTGTTAGCCCTTGCTGAGATTGTGTTCCCTTTCCCTGCCTTACTTCTTCTGGCATCTGCTGCTCTCATACCCCTAGCTAGATTTTTTTGCTTGATTCATTAAACTTTCCTCTGCAGAGAATTGTATGGCTAAGTAGCTGGTTTGTTTTGACTGCTATTTCTCAAGTTGATGCATTTGATCTCTTTGTTGCCTTTTGCTCCCATAAACGAAAGTATCAAGCTAGCTCCTGTTTACAAGTTTTATTGCAAGCTAGTTGTGCTTGTACAACAGAAACCTAATGGATTGAGTAGCACTCTTTGGCAGTGGTACATAGCCAGTAATAAGTAACAGCAGAGAGTCAACTTGGATAACAGTAAATTCAAACATGATTAATGATAACCACTGGTATATGAATGAAAAGATGAAAATATCCTGTTTTGTTTGATTGGTTGTTACACTGCTCAAGACATGAGATGTGATCCTGTGAATGGTGGTAGACTCCTTGTGGAACATGTAGATCTCGGCTGTATTTTGGAAAAGATACAACCTAACACCAGGAGAAAAAAACAAAACAAAACAAAACAAAAAAAAAAAAAAACCAAGAAAGATGATCAACCATTTGAGGAAAAAAAGTGAAAGAAATGGTGAATTTTCATATCTTGCTCTCTTCAGGATATCTTTCTGGAAAGCGTGTTTTAAACTAGCTAAAATCAATGTGGAAGCAGTTGAGTGAAAATTAGTGGTTTGTGATGTACACATGTGTCTTTCCACTTGCTGAAAACCAGAGGCAGAAAATGCATGTCCACATATAGGAACACATATTGCACTGATACTGCATGTAGTATTGACAAATGCCAACAGAGCTTGCCTACATAGAGCAAGTCTTCAAGTGTCCCACGTACAGTCACATCTCTGTTGTATGTTACAGAGTGTATTTTGCTAATGTCTTCAGTATTGCAGTATTGCATGATAATGTCGAGATCAAGACAAAGATAATTACATAGTAGCAGATGCAGCAGTTATTTTGGTAAAACAAAAAAGTCAGTGTTCTGCAATGTGAAACTGATTTTTTTACATTTTTTTTAATTCTGAAGACCTTTGCAAGAAAACCCCAAAACAAGATAAAAGCTTTCTTTGGGGCTGCTTATTACATTTTCTTTTAAAGAAAAAGAAAAAAAAGACCATAAAAGAGTGAGTGAAAAGTCATGTAGGCGAGCATTTATTTTCACAGTGGAAATTCTGATAGTTTTGCAACAATAGAATTCTTTTCTATCCTTTGAGAACACCCCAAAATCTGATGTGACAGCTTCTTTTTACTTTCCTTGTAGTTTAAGCCCATCATTTGCTGTCTTTGATCACCTATACTAACTTTGTTCATTTTTTTAGTGCAAACAGTGAGCTGTGTGACATATTTTTATGGCACATACAGAAGATAAAAAATGGGTCCCTAATGAGGGACGGCCATAGTTTGATACAACACGGTACAAAAATGAATTTTCACTTCGTAGTCTTGATCAAAATGAGAATATTTCGCAGTGCTTGGTGAAGAGATTGTACGTTTTAATATCTTCAACCCTTTCTCTAATAAAGAGGTTGATTGTCAAACTAATTTCTATTTAAGTCCTAAATATTCATTAAACTGCACAAAATCAACCTAAGTTAAGCAGTGATTTTCTTATGCTCTCTTTCTTTTTGAATTTTGCATAGTGACAGAAATAATTTTATAGAAGCCTTTAACGAAGTTGTAGGTATCAGATAATGAATCAAGGGTGATATGAATATGAAACATGATATTAGTTGGCTGCATTAGATACTTGGCTTCTTAACCCTTCCGGTATGACAGATACACAGAACAGCAATAAAATTGGATGAGACAGATGGTAACACTACATAACACATTTGTGTATAACCTTTTCCTTCTGACCTGCAGGAGAATCCCAATCCCCACATAGCATTCCAGAAAGTGCCACGGCCCACGGAGGGCTCCCACTTGCGGGTTCATATCCTCCCTTTCCCCCGGATCAATGAGTGCCGGGTGCAGGAGCTCCTCCAGGAAGGCCTCGCAAGGAGTCAGGGTGCCCCCCCTGCCACCCGGGGGGATAAGAAGTGTGTCGTTCCAGCGGGTCCCCCTGTTGGTACGTGTACTTGTTCCCCAACTTACCTATTTGTCATCCTGTCTCATAAGTTGAATATATAATTAGCATGGCTGCAATGTGTTGCCCCAATGTCATGTTAATACAGTATTTTTAGCGATCGTAGTAAAGTTTAGTACATAGGCTTGCCTGTTTGCTTTTGCAATTTTAAAAGCCCTTTTGCACCAGCCTTCTCTAAGAAGTCAAACATCCAGAGTGTGAGTGGCATAATTACTAACAACAAAAAAAGGACTTGATCTGAGTTAGACTGAACTATTAAATTCGATATTGCCTACTCATCTAGGTCTGATGAATATCACCGTAGGTTACTTTTAGGGCTGGCTGAACCAAGCTTTGAACTGTTAGGGTTTTTCCTTTGACAGTAGTGGAAGACATGTAAATTACTGGAAAAAGGCAAGGAACAAACATAGCATCTGTCTCAAAATAAATATACCTATATTTAAATATAAGGAACAGATGTAGACATTCTAGGCCTGTCAATTTCATTTTAATGCCAGAAAAATTCTATTAGTCATAGTCATATTCATCAATGCGAATGATGGCGTAAACAAGTATGTTTAGTAAACTTGCAGGAGACACGAAGCTGGCAGAATTTGCAAAACTTTTTAAGGATGGGATTAGAATTCAAATCAGTCTTGAAAAATTAGAGATGTAGTCTCTGAATTTTGTCCTTCTCTACTGTTTTTCTTCAAATAAGGTATTGCACTTGCATAGGCATGGTCAGCTGACTATGCAACAGCTCTTCAGAAATTAGTTTGGGGATTATAATTATCATAGGGCAAACATGACCCAACTATATCAAGCTATTGCAAAAAAGACAAACATCTTAGTAGGATGTATAAACAGGAGTACAGTCAGTGAACCCCATGGAGAAATCCTTTCGTTGTACTCAGTAAGACCTCGGCTGGACTGTTTGTATCCATTTTTGGACACTGGAAGACTGCCTCCGTTTTTGATTCTGTTGGAGGGAGTCCAGAAGAAAGCAACAAGAATGACCAGCGATCTGGAGAATGTGACCTACAAGGAAAGATGGAGAGTTGTTTAGACTGAAAAACAGAAGACTGAGGGAACACATAATAGCAGTCTTCAATTACATGAGAGGCTGTTAAAAAAAAGAAAGGGAATAATCTGTAGCGATAAGAAATAATGGGTTTAATTGCAGCACAAAAATAGAGTTATTTGTTAGGAAAAACTTGGTAAAATGAGGATTGTGAGGTAGTTGAGTGGATTTCTTGTGAAGCCATGGAGTCTCTGTTATCACAGAACTTTGGGAACATATTAGACAAACATGAGAAATAACATAAATACAGTTGATCCTCAGGACAGCAGGATGAACTACATGGCCTCTTGAGGCCCCTTCCAGGCCTGTTTCTGTTTGGGTTTATGTAAGAAGATAAACTCTATTCACCTGCCTTTGCTGTTGACTATATCATTGCATCTGTTACTTGTAGAAAATGTAAAGAGTATGTGCTTGTGTTCTGTTGTCTTTCTTTAAAAGGCTAGATGCAAGAGAAGGTTTTCTTTCTTAATAAGTTAATTTTTATGTCAAAGCTTTATATTTTTTTTTTTCCAAGGAACAGCTTTCACACTCATACTCCCTGCTGTCCTGTGTGTCAAAATCCTTGGATATTAGGAGCTCATTATTATCTACAAGAAGCGCATATTCTGCATTTATATTCTATTTACCTGATAATAAAGAGAAAAAGAGAATGTTAGTTCTTCCATTCTGAATTTGCTTGAAAATTCAGAGCGGAACACTGTATTAAGAAAATAATCTTTAGATCTCAGCAAATTGGAATCTAGATAAGAGAACAGGTTTGTCAGGTTTATTCTGTGTCACAGAATTCTTGGCATGGCCAATGAATTCTTTAAGGAAAAATAGTTGTCTACAGCTACACAATATGCAAGGCTACATAGTTCACTACAGAACACACACATATATTTTTTTATTAATTTGTATTTATTTATATATTTCATTAGTATGTTAGAGGTTGGAATCTCTTTGTGCCTGCGTAAGACAAACAGAACAAATACTAAAGAGAATCAACTGCTCTAGTTAAAATGCAGACCAGTCTCCTCTTCAGATAGTATAGGAAAATCAAAGATTGAGGGTCTTATGTTCCCATCTGTATATGCCTACTAATGCTATTTGCTTAACAGAACAAAATGGAGGGGACATTCTTTTTTTTTTTTTTTTTTTTTTAAATATTTTTTTGGTATT